TTTCTGAGGCCTCCAAGTTAAACCTTGATAGGAAATCTTGTAGCGTTTCTCCTCTTTTTTGCCTTATAGTGAAAAGACTGGCGATAGTCTTCTTCTGCTTCTTGTTTCCGCAGTATTATGCTAAGAACATGGCGCACAAAGTTTCTTAGTTTTGGATGGACTTGTGCAGCCTATTCTTAAACCATTCCAATGTGGCTCTCGTATGACTAGTTGGAAAAACCTTACACATGAATGTGTCATTGTGATTGTCTAAAGCCATCTTCTGCGGATAGTGATCGAGGTGACGGGAAGGATCTCATATGCCATCAAACTGAGTAAATAAAGGCATAGTGAATTTCTTAGGTTTATCAACAAAGTATATATCATCGGTGAATGGAGTCCTCACTAGAGAGTTCTTATGCTCTTTGGCCATCTCGGCGGGTGTTTGAATCCTTAGGAGCCTCTTCTTATCAAAGGCCTTCTGGACGCCAATGCCATTTAGAATGCCATTTAGAATGCCATTAGACCATACCGTAAGCTCACGGCTGGACTCGGCCTATTCGTCTTGCATGTGACGAGGATGATTGTTTGAAGTGACCACTTCGGTTCTTGTCCTCTGCTTTTTGATAAACTTCGTTAGGCTGAACCTCATTGGCTTAAGGTTCGTAAACCGGAGGAATATTTTGGTTAAGGAGAGGTGCTGCTGCATCACCTGGTGGTGGCTGCAGTGTTATCTGGGCCATAGATGCTTGGAGGGCATCGTTCCTCTGTTGAAGCATCGCAATCTGGGTCGTGTTGACCTCGTTTGCTTGACGAAGCCTTTCGAATTGGTACAAGAACTCTTCTCACATCTTTTGCATAACTCCATCTGTTGATCAGCTGCTGCTGCAGATCCTCCGATGGACATTCCAGATCGTAGTAACATAAACGATTTGAATCACTTGTGGGAGTATATTTCTATACATTTCCCACAGACGGCGCCAACGTGCAGGTGCAAAATTTTTCTTTATAAAAGAAATTAAAAGAAATAATACAACTCACTCAGAATAAAATAATAAGCAACAAGAATTACTCAGAGAAAAGCGTATATTGCTCGATCATCTTTATTGGAGGACTAAGCCTCTATTTATATACAAAAAATGTGGTGGAATTATAGTAGGACTTGCCTTACTTGTCCTTCAATTTATTCCATATACATTTCTTTACTAATTAAGTTATTGCCTTTTACAATTATCTTCATGTCAGATTTATCTTTTTGTAGAACTTTCCTTTCATGTAGGATTCTTCGCTTAGTAGGACTCATTTGCTCCCATATAGTTTGGGCCAAATACATCTTGGGCTAGTCGAGCTTGATTGATGGGCTGGAAGCTTAGTACCAGCAATCTTGGGCTAAATGGAGACTTAATTTGGGATCGACTCGGATTGGGCTTTTGCAATCCATTAAAGGATTGAAAGTATCTTACTGGAGGGGGGTTTTTCCCTCCACAATTGGACTTGTGTCATGTGTTAGTGGAGATGCATTTTGTTGTTGTTTCGGCCTGCAGGTCCATTAATTAGAAGGTTCTCACACACACATATGGAGAAACCAACTAGCAATACAAAATATATATTAAGCCTATTAAGGATTACTTACAATAAGTACTCAGTGATAAATTGCCGTAGTCATTTTGTATAAAGTTGAATTATTTGATGAGTCATGCTATTTAGCCCGAGAAATAAAAACCTACTATTTTACCGAGTCTATGTGCAGTTGTTCATGTGTCTAATAAAATGGACCTATTTTAAAATTTAAGGTAATTAACTATTTGGAACCATTCTATTTTTTGACAAATAAAAATTCTATCAACATCCTAGGATAATATTCTTTGTTAGCAATTAAAGTTTGAATCACCCAGAAACTTTATATATATATATATATATATATATATATATATAGGAATTTAAAGAAGAAAAATTGGAAAGTATTGCTGCCTTTGGTAGCAGAAATTATAATTTTGCATAAATAATTTTTTTATATTTCAGTATCATGAAAATAAAAAAGAAGATGAGGATAGATGTGGTGACACTAATTTAATGAAACAAACAAAAGTAATAATGATTCGCCTTTAAGTTTAAAATTTTAAAATAACAATATCATATTAAAGTGGTCAATTATATCATTTTTCTTATTCGATTAGTTTTCCTTTACAAACACATTCTTAAAAGTGTTCTACTTAATTTATCTTTTATTATATTCTACCACCAAACTTTAGAAATTATATTTCCTTGAATTGTGTAAAACTTTTTCAACTAATAAGTACAGTGCAATCTTTACACATTAATCGATATACCTTTTTTAATTAAAATATATATTTATTTGTTTCATATTTAGTTCACTTTAAAATGATGGGTATGTTTAGTTCCACTTTTTATCTTTTATAGGGTTATTCCTTCTGTTTCAAAATAAATATCTATTTTAGGAAAATTTTACAATTTTTTTAAAAGGAATATTCTTTTTGGGACAGAGAGAATATATAATTTTAAAAAATTAAAAATCATAGATTTGTACAAAAATCTGGTAGACATTTTTTTTTTTTACATTGTTATATGAAAATTAGTTTTAAAAAATCATAATTTTTAAATTCTTGAGAAACAAAACAGGTCCTATACTATTCAAACGCTTAAAAACATTACAATATAGTTCACATATATAGAAATGATAACCGTATGAAAGCTTAAGAGTGGATCCCATCCCCTCTATCAAGATATAGAAACCATACAAATAGGTCTAACAAATGGATTTAGGAACTATTTTTCTGTTGTTTATATATAAGAAAATGATAAAGATGATGAAAGAAAAATAGTAATCCATATCACGAATGAGGTGAATATTCCAAAATAGGTATCTACTGAAAAAGGAAAACTCTAGTTTTACTATATATTCATCTTTGCTTACAAACCTCTCTGTAAAACTGTTAATTTGTTCATGTTGTTTTACCTTTTACAAATTACAAGCTTCTGTGCATGTGTTTTACCTATTTTTAAGATTGGCTGTCTGTAAAACTCTTAATTTTCAAGACAATTTCAAGCCTTTTATTGGTATGATGTTTTAGGAATCATTTTTCTACATATATAAATACACACACCTTTTTCTCTCCTTTATATCGCATGTCTAGCTTTGAACCGTATGGGATTGCTCATAATTTCATAAACATTTTACACACACGGACGAATTTAGAAATTTCTATGGGGAAATTTTTTATATAGTGGGATTTTTTTTTTCTTAATTTTAGTAGGGACAATTTCAAAATTTTATAAATATAAATACAAAAAAGTACAAATTTAAGAATATAAAATATAATAACAAAAAATTTCAGTCGCGCAATGCCCCATTGAGCACACAGTATATCCGTCCCGGCACACACACACATATATATGATTATATATACAAGATAAATATCTCACTTTGGGGAAGTGTAGCGGAGGAAGTAGCCAATGCATGGCGTCTCTTCCTCTTGAACCAGATGATGAAAATGGCCACAGCAATCAGCAAAACTGGGATTCCAATCCCAGCACCAATCCCAGCAACCAGTTTAGTATTGTTAGACTTTGATGATGATGCCGGAGTAGTGGTGGTGGTGTCGTCAGTGGACAGCGGACTGGTGGGGGTGTTATTACCATCCGGGGGCGGCGGACTGGTGGTGTTATTACCATCCACGCCATACGACGACATGATCGATCTGATTCCACTACTCAGGTTGTACATACGTTACGTAGTTATTTGTGGTGTGCGCACATGGGCTCCAAGTCGTCTTGAATTGATAAGCTAGTCTTTCTTTGCCAAGTCTTTGCCAAGTCTTTCGTGGAAATTGATGTTAGCAGATAAATTAATGTTTTGGACATATTGTTGTTGCAACTGTCCAAATTCATTTAGTACGTACGTACATGAAATGGTTGGTTATTGGCACTCTAATATTTATGACCCATTCTTATTTGGTCTGATTTTTTATTAGATCGATGAGATATTTTATCAAAGTCGAGGTCTAGATTGTGACAATATGTATATATATATAGTATATACGTATGATCATTGAGTTTTATACAAGTAAGTTTTAATTAAGATATATATACTAGTTAATAAAAAGTAAGCTATTTGTCAAAAACTATAAATTTATTTAGGCTTTTAATAATTATTTAGAAATGTCTTTCAATTAGATATTGATCACTAATTAACACGAATTGGCTTCTCCTTCTAGCGAGCTAGCTAGATATTGAAGATTTCACTGTATTGTACTGGAAATAGGTCTTATAATTGCTGAGTTAAATATTTGATCAAAAGAAAAAATAAAGACCATTAAATAGTTCCAAGTTGAGATATTTTATTATATATCATACATCAAGATGGCTGGAATGGCGACTCGATTAGCCAAAAGATCAATTAATTCTAAACTCTCTAAATGAGAAACAGAAAAGGAGCAAGACAACTGGAAAGAGGGAGGAGATAAACCTTTTTCTTCCCCCTCCCACCGTATCTCTTCTTTCTAAAAGTGGGAGGAGAAACCTTTTTCTTTCCCCCACCCACTGTATCTGTTCCTTCTAAAAGTGGGAGGAGTATAATGATTATACTCCGTTTGGTAGAAGGGAGGGAAGAATGGATTGAGGCAGGTGAATGAATAAGACATCCCTATAACCAATCTTATGGTTATCTACCAAAAAAGAAGGTGAATTGCAATTGACAACACACGGCAGACACGAATGTTCCATACAAGCTGAACATGTCTCGAAAACGAGGAGTGGATATGAAGGGCAAGAGTTTATCTATCTTCTGATTTTCTCCGAACATTTTCCTTAATCTTTGCGTATTTTGCTTTAAGGAGTTTTTCACCACATTTTCTTCATTTACATTGCCAACTCGAGTAGTTTGTTGGATTTCACTGCACAAATCACTGGGAGATGGGCTCATACCGGAGTCGCTGATTCCACTGCATTCACTAGTACCATATATGTGTTGCGAAATGAAACAAAAAAATACTGAAAAGATATTAAAACACACAACAAGAACACACAGATTTGTTTAATAATAGTATCGTTACACATGCATCACAAATTCCCTAAATTGATAGGTTTATCTCCTGCATCTCACTTGTAAAAGTTGAGTATAACTGAATTATAATCGAATAATGAATTTCCAATCGAATTCTTTGCACAAAGCATAATTTATTTTAGCATGTCTTGAAAACTTAGTGATTTTTCTTCGCGTATTTTTTCTTCATTACTTTCCACTGCCACTTTGAGTACTTTGTTGGATTTCACGGAAAGAAATTACTGGCAGATGGGTTGGTTCCACTGCCGTCACTAGCACCACGTTCCTGGCTTCCTGATGCCATCTTCCTGAATTTCTTTGAATCCTCCGCTTTAACATAATCCGTACTTTCATGGGAAGTGCTGAAGGTTATGCTATGTCCGGGTCGAATACCTTCACTTAGATCATCTAGAGATACATTTACTTCTAGAGCTCGGACAATCTGCATATATATATATATAAGGATTATTCATTCCGCCAGCACAAAAATTGTTAGATTTCATTTTCAGTTACTATGTAGCTATGCTGATTGAATGGAGAGATGTACCTGGCTCATTCGTGGGCGATGCTGTGCCGAATGACGTAAACAAGTAGCAGCACAAGTAACCATCCGAGCCATCTCAACAGAGTTATAATCCTTTTGCAACCTTGGATCAGCAAGAGTATCAAAATTGTTGTCTTCCAAAGCTTTTGTGAGCAACGGTTTCGCCTAAAATTTTAATCAGAAAATGTGTTAATTCTTATTCATGCCACTTCACCAAAGATTGTAGCCAGTAAAATAGAAAACTCACCCAGTCGACTATATATTGAGCTTCTTCACCAGTAGGCTGACGGCCGGTGATCAACTCTAGAAGCACAACCCCAAAGGAGTAGACATCTGACTTCTCAGTAATTTTCCCATTAGAACACTCTGGAGCTATATAACTGCAACCAACAATTGTGGATGTGAATAAGAGAAGTCATTTATATATAACTCATTTTATATCATCATTTTAAGCTCCTATATCGATCCAGGACCATATGTATGGCAATACTAATAATTAAAGCTGCTTTCAGTGAACAAATAAGAAAAAGGTTTTCACCCTTTAGTTCCCGCTGCAGCAATGGAGAGGTGAGTTTGAGTATCAGAATTGAACCTAGCAAGACCAAAATCTGCTACCTATAATTAAAACAGGGTTCAATTATATGTATTAATATCAATTGATTATGAGCAAAACAGAAGAGGCAGTTTGAGCACTACATTAATTGATACGAATAATTTCACATGGTCTAGCTATTGCACAGGATCTAAATTAAACTTGCATATATACCAATGACTCTTCACAATCTGTTCATTGTGAATATATATCGGAAACATTCTGAAGAATAGATCGAACATATGCCAAACTCTAAAGATCGATAAAAATATATATATTGTATGATATTTTTGAACATATATATTTTTTCTGTGGATCCTACGTACCTTTGCCTCAAAACTGTAATCAAGAAGAATATTTGCAGACTTGATGTCACGATGTATGATTTTGGGATCACCTGCAAATATAGTACATTTGATCAAGACAATTGAATCTCTGAGCCAAAACTAAAATAGTTTTCAAAAAAAAAAAATTGTAAATGTTGGAAACTCACAGTCCTCGTGCAAATATGTCAATCCCTTTGCAGAGCCTAAAGCAATTTTCATCCTCATTTCCCATTTTAAAGGAGGGCTGTCCTTTTCTGCAAAGTCATTAATTTTTCTACGATAACATTACATTAATGGAGGTAGGGATTGAAACAAAGACCTTTGGAGTTTGAAACAAAGACCTAGAAACCATATATATTCCATGTTAAACAGAATTAAAAAGAAAAAGAAATAATAAGATCACTACTTATTCAACGTTGTATCTACAAGTCCTGCAAAGTAATAATCAACAGTGATATATATACACACGCAAAAGGGGCAGAAAAACGTTCGATGGCTCTGGAGATGTAAGAATCGAAAAAAAAGAAAAAATGTGTAGTGTTGCCACTGAATGAGGCATGTATATATATATGACTAGGATGATAAATATCATATGCTAATCGATTTCATCCAAGTAAAAAACATTATGAAATGATTCGCAACCTAAATAGGGAAATAATGATTGACCAGTGTGAGTGTATATTAATTTATATATGTATTATATACATAAGGCAAGCTCGTGTGTGTTTGAAGTGAGTAACAGTTCATAGAAAAGGTGAAATGTGTTGTTTGAGCATGTTTGCGGCGGTGGAAATGAAGAAACTTTTGCAATCTATAGTACTGTTATCCGATGACTAATTTTATTTATTTTAACCTTGGTAAGAAATACTAGAATAACATCTTATGACATGTCATGTGACATAGGGCGGATCTATGAAGATCTTGAAGGTAGGTGCGGAGCGTAAAGATCATGTGTCATGAATTTGTGAATATATTGTTAACAAGGTAATCCCGCACCTTAACATGTCGGATCAACTCCGTCAATACACCACCACGCGCCATCAGTGATCATCTGTGCTCACAAGCACTTTCAACGTGGTGAATATATGGTTGTAGTCTTGTAGATATACTCCTTATGGGATGGGTTAAGTGCAATTTCTATTTTGTAATATTTCTTTTTATGTGTTATGTTTGATTGACGTATGGTTTCATCTCCGTGCGTACGTTGGGATTGATGATGTGAGATGACATGCTTTCCCTGTGGGGAATTTAATTCTGCCACTGTGCTTGAACGAAGGGAAATTTATTTCTGAAAAACGTTCTGTGTCAAAGCTAGTTGAAGGGAATTAATACTCCCAACATAAGAAAGGTACAACAGTTGGTATGGGCTGGGCCTATTTTACCTTTCTTGTTTTGATGCCTTTGGGCTAAGTTTTTGGGTTGTTATTGTAGGCCTCTTGTGGCTTTTCCCTGTACAGTTCCTTTTCTTTCAATAAAGTTTTTTTTTTAGTTAAAGTTCTTTCAATAAAGTTGATTTACCGACAAACCAAAAAAAAAAAAAAGGTTGGGGAAAAAATCAATAATAAAGCATCCTTGTCTACTTTTGTTCAAGTGAGTTTGTGACTCCATGGAGATTGGTGAAGCAAGAAGTGATGTAATTGCATAAAGGGCTCACCGTGTAAGTGGAACTTCAGTGTTTTGTTTGGAACAAACTGATAGACCAACAATCTGTGAGTCCCAGAAATGCAGTAGCCCGCCAGAAAAACTAGATGCTTGTGGTGAAGACGACTAATTGTCTCAATCTCAGCCCGAAACTCACGGTCCCCCTGTTGACTTCCAAATTTGAGCTTCTTGATTGCAACCTCTTTCACTTTTGGAAGGACTCCTTTGTAGACACAGCCGAAGCCGCCTTGACCAAGAAAGTTGTCTGCAGAGAAATCATTTGTTGCCTTTGATAATTCTTCATATGTAAATGTAGTCTTTGAGCCAAAACCGCTGCCAACTGAAACTGGTCTTTGCAGCATTGGACTTGTGTCGCGTGTTGATCGAGATGCATTTTGTTGCCAATATTGCTGGCCTGCAGGCCCAAAACTGCTGTCAACTGACGCTGGTATTTGCATCATTAATGGAATTGTGTCCCGTGTTGGTGGAGATGCATTTTGTTGGCAATATTGCTGGCCTGCAGACCCGTTTAATTAGAAGGTTCACACACACACACACACACACACACTTTATGAAGAAAGCAACTAGCAATACACATTATTAAGAATTACTACTTTCAATAAGTAATCACTGATCGATATATTGAAGTAGTCATTTCCATAAAGTTGATTAATTATGACCCTTTTAACATATTGAATGAGTCAGATTAGTTTTCTTTTCAGCATCACATTCTTAAAGTGTTCTGCTTAATTAATCTCTTATTAAATTCTGCCATGTATCTAGTTTTTGAAATTATATTTCCTTTGACTTATGTAAAACTTTTTCCTTGAACAAGGTTTATTTATTTTGTTATGGGCAAGAAATTCACACACACCACTCACACACTAGCTTTGCTTATTTGGAGGCTTAATCTCTCACTATCCATTTTAAAAGGTGAAAGAGATATCACTGAATTACAAAATCGTTGAACTTTCCTTGAATTAGTACCTTACTATCTTTACATGTATATATATATTTTTAATAAATTTAATTTAATTTTTTTATATAAATATTACAATCTTTACATGTTAATTGATATACCTTTCTAGTTATAAAAATATATCTTAATTAGATTTATATTTAGTCTGCTTTAAAATTATGGGTATATTTTGTTCAATTTTCTTCTAAATAGTTTTATGTTTTTGAATAACTGAAAATCATAGATTTGTACAAAAATCTGTTTGGTTGACATTTAAAAAAAACTGTTGTATGAAAAATCGTTTAAAAAAGATCATAATTTCTGAATTATTGAGAAACCAAACATGTCCTATACGTACAATTCAAAATTCTTCTAACATTTTTCACACACATGCACTTAAAAACTTTACAATATAGTCCATATATATAGTTTCAAGTATTTAATGATATTTAGACTGATTTGTCAAACCTATTTGTTTAGAAAGAGTTTATATCCATTTGATGCAATGGAAGCTCAAAGTTGGATAGAAACCATTATGCTAGACAAATAGGGTTGGATAAATAAATTTAGGAGCTATTTTTCTGTAGTTTATTATACACAAGAAGAAAATTAATGATAAACATCATGAAAGAAAATTCGTGCTCCATATCATGAGTGACTATTCCAAAATAGGTATCTACTCAAAAGAATAATCTTAGCATATTTTCATCTTTGCACCATTACAGTATGAAAGTATAACTGAGATTGGACTTCCATAAGTTTCAACATTTATGTCCAGAGTTATGAGAATCAGTTTTTTAATTTTGTTACTTGAAGAATCAAGAAGATTTTTAATTCGTGAATTGAAAGATGTATTAAATTTGTTTGGCTTTTGATAAATCTTAAAAATTTATTTCAATTTAATGATTAAATGGTATAATTTAAGACCATTCTCTTGAGAAGTCTAATTAGGAGCATTACTTTTTTTAACATGAATCTCTGTAAAACTCTTAATTTTCAAGCCTTATATTGATATATAATGTTTCTTGATATTAGGAAATCTATGGGTTGAGGTATTGGCCCGAAGAGGTGTTAGGAGTCGGGACCTTATATTGGTCTATAATGTTCTTGATATTAGGTGTTAGGAGTCGGGAAGGATAAATAGGTTTGACAAATCGGTTTAGAAGTTATTTTCTTATAGGTTGTTTTTTTTTTTTTTTTTTTCTTCTTCCCTAAGCCTGGGATATTCGCGAAGGTACGATTCTGAGGATCCCTTAACAACTCGATTAATTCTGAGGACCTGGAAGGACACCTCCTCACCCGAACTAGATAAGTCACTATAACAACAGCGAGAACTTAAAACCCACACTTTGGGCTTGCAAAGTATCAAAATCCAGCAACCCAAAGTGAATTTCCTATAGTTCACAAACAAATATTACACACCCTTTTCTCTCCTTTATATTGCATATATATCTAAGCTATACACCTTTCTTTAAGTCACTTAATTAATATTCCTTCCGTCTTGATTCAAGTGTAATTTATTTGGAGCAGTAATTTTTAAGGAAATATGTGATACATGCATTGTCTGTTTGAAAAATTACTAATTTATTCTTTTAAGTTTTTAAATTTAAACTTAAAGGACGTATATGAAAAAATATAAAATATATTGTTTAAAAAAGAAAAATAAACACTTATTTTGGAACAAACACAAATGAAAAATATATACTTATTTTGAAATGGAGGGAGTAATTTTGAACTGTACGTATAGCAGTTTGCTCATAAACATTTTAGAGAGAGACACACGCACATACATACATATATATATATATATATATATATATATATATGAAATGTGATAATATAAGGATGGAAGATAAAATCTCACTTTTGGGAAGTGTATCGGAGGAAGCAGACAATGCATGGCGTCTCTTCCGCTTGAACCAGATCACGAAAAAGGCCACAGCAATCAGCAAAACTGGAATTCCAATCCCAACACCAATCCCAATAACCAATTTAGTATCGCTAGAGGTGGATGATGATGCCGAAGTAGACGCGGATGATGATGATGCTGCCGAAGCAGACGCGGCTGATGATGATGATGATGATGCCGAAGCAGACGCGGATGATGGTGGCGGCGGAGTGGTGGTGTCATAATCCGGCGGGGGCGGTGGACTGAAAAAATCGAAGTTGCCATACCCCGCCATGATCTAACTGATTCCACTACTCTGGTAGTCAGGTTCTTCTTACGCACGTAGTTATATGTGGTGTGCGCACATGCCCTGCAAGTCTTTGCCAAGTCCTCATCTTGATAAAAACTAGCAGTACTCTAGTCTCTTTCTTCGCCAAGTCGTCGTCTTCTTGATAAAAAACTAGATAATCTTCCTTAGTGGAAATGCTTTTGGACATGATTGTTGCCAGCTGTAAAAATTCATTTAAAAGTAACGTGCATGATTGGTTATTGGTACTTTTCTGATCAAAGAGCGGACCAACAAAAATTATGAGGGCGCTGCTTTTAACAGCAATAAAATAAAAAAATATTGTAGGAGGTGATAGTGGAGCTTTTTTTCTAATTTTAGTAGGGCAGTTCTGAAATTTTATAGGTATATAATATAAAAAAATTAAATAAAATCAGTAAGCATATATATATATATATAGATAGATAGATAGATATAGATTTATAAGTATTATTTAATTAAAGTTAATAAAAAGTAAACTCTTTGTCAAAAACTTGAAATTTATATAAGCTTATAATATTTAATTTATTTAGAAATGTCTTTCAATTATATACATTTATATATATATATATTTATATATATATATATATATATGGACTAATTAACACTAATTGGCTTCTCCTTCTAGCAAGCTAGCAAGATATTGAAAATTTCACTGGAAATAAGTCATATAATATCTGAGATAAATGAATACTTAGATTTTTTTATTTTTTTAAATTACTTCATGATTCATCAATATGTTGTTTTTGCAAAAAAAAAAGAAAGAATTTTTTTTTTTTTTTGGTAAAATACAAAAAAATTCCTGAAAAAAAAAAAAAAAAAAACTATTCTATTCGGTTGTAAAATGCCCAATCCGACAAGTTTCCAGACAAATATTACCCTTAAATTAATCTAGTGACAGAAAATGTGAAAATCATTTATGACCATTACACCAAAAGCAAACATCTTTTGGCCCCCCAATTAAATATTCCTGGCCCGTGCTTACACCCAACTACACTACTCTTTCCTAAATCATCTCAAACACCTTGTTGAACCCTAACATAATTTAACAAAATCAAATGATCTGAACTTGTATTTTCCAAATCAACCTCATACCTTTGTATGAATTGCTTGAGTTTCCACGCTGAAGAGAAATTCATGGTTGGACTGGTTGACGTTGAGGTGGCGGTGAAGGTGGTGGCAGGAGCGGAGTGATGGTTGTGGGCTTGCGGGTTCGATTGGATTTGACGGTGTGGTGTGTGGTTCGTTAATGTTTACATTATATATAGGGAGAGAGAATTTGATTTCTTGATAATGGTGTTCAAGATTATGACTTAAGTGATTGGTTACAGGTGGGAAATGACTCTTTCTAAAAAACAATGAAACTGCAATTGACAACACACGGAGGACGGATGTTTCAAACAATCTGAATGTTTATAAAACGAACATAACATTGAACAAATAGTAGATTTCCACAATAATGTTGCGCAAAACCTGCTTAATAATAATACGTATTACGTGCTGCACAAATTCCTTAAGTTGATAGGTCCAACTCAGCATATCAATTGTAAAAGTTGAGTATTAACTGAACTACAATTGAACAATTGATTTCCAATCAAATTCATTGCATGAAACATAATTTTATTGAGCATGTCTTGAAAAGTTGGATTGAATATGAAGGAAGAGTCATTATGCGAAAGTCCATCATCATGAATGGGATTTGGGAAATCTCCTCACAAATGATTAGTAAAGTTTATCCTAATTTTATAGCTTGAATTAGTTTAGATTCGACTAGCCCTGTATATTTGATTAATGAGTTTGTTGTAATTTTAAAGTCTTAATTTGTTATATTCTCCTTTTTTTTTTCTTTCTTTTAATTAATGGATTCTTTTTAATTTGTAAAATCAGAATTGTTGAGTTTGTTTAATATATTATTTAGAATATTTCTAGTCATAATTGCTTTAGATTCTTTCATATGTTTCTCTGATTTATTTTTTTATTGTATTTTTTAAAAAAAATTAATTGGCCTCATTTGAATAAATTTTGTACATATTTATTTCATATTTGATTAGATATAAGAACGAACGAACAAACAAATAAGCTTTGATATATTTTTGTATGCATATAAATGATAGGGCAATAATTTTGGCTCCGCGTCTAGAAATAGTGGAGTTCCCGCCATACGACACCATGATTGGCTTGATTCCACTACTCCGGTTGCACATATGTACATAGTAGTTATTGTGGTGTGTGTTAGGATTTCACACACACAATTGGTAAATAGAATAGATAAAAGTACACACGCTAGTAAAATGAGGTTTAAGTGGTTTGGTAAATTGCTTATGTTCACAGGCAACGACTATCTTTACTTTAAAATTTGATTACACTTTCTCTCTTCTCACAAACTTAACTCGTTTTTTCTCTCTATACAATTATCTCTTTCTCTCTCTACCTTTATACCCAAACCCATCTCTATTTATAAAATCTTCAAAACCCATTATATCAATTGTGTACAAGGAGTTACCAAATCAATCTTAGCTCTAAAATAGAAACCTAACGAAACAATTTTTCTAAAAAATTTCAGTATTCTAAAACAGAAAAGAAAATTAATTTATGCAATTTTGAGCCACGAACCCACCTTGGCTCGAAATTCTTCTTCACATGCTCCTCCATAGCTCCACCTTAACTGAAGATTTCTCCACCTTGAACCTAACATCTTATTTCTTCTTGTCGTTCTTCGCCATTCCACCAGACTCATCTATTCCCAATAAATTCCAAGATCAAATAATTGAACCTGAAATCTACTTTTGGATCACCAAATCGAACTTTTTTTGCTTCTCGAATAAAGGTTGGTGCTTTTGCAATTGTCAAGATTTCTTCTTTCTCTTGCTGATCTTTATTCTTTAATTTAGTAGATCTCGAAACAGACTTCCATTCTGTCTTTGCAATTACTCTACCTAGCATAGTATTTCCCAACAAAATATAGAGATTATTGACCTTCCTTCCCAAAAGTAAACACATGGTGCCCTTTTAATCTTCATCAATCCATTCTTCACTTAACACCAACAACCCTTGGAGTTCAATGCTCCTTGAATCAAATTTCTGGCTCCGCCCCTGTATGGTGTGATCTTTTATTATATATATATATATATATATATATATATTGTGAGATATTTTTTCAAGGTTCAGATCTAGCTTACTGCATGACCATGTTGTGACAATATAGGCAGGCACAGACCCAATGTGGGACTAGTGGGGGGCCCCCACTAGATTTTTTATACTTTCATTTTATACCTTAATTTTTTAGAATCTATGAAGATGCCCCTACTAAAATTACAATTTGCCCCCACTGATTTTTTTATTTATTTTTGCATTTTATACTTTAAATTTTTAAGAATTTATGAAAATGCCCCCACTAAAATTACAATTTGGCCTCACTAAATTTTTTATATTTTCATTTTATACCTTAATTTTTTTTAGAATTTATGAAGATGCCCCCACTAAAATTACAATTTGCCCCCATTGGTTTTTTTTTTTTTTCATTTTATACTTTAAATTTTTAAGAATTTATGAAAATCCCCCCACTAAAATTACAATTCGGCCCCACTGATTTTTTTTTTTTTTTTTTTATTTTTATTTTTTTGCATTTTATACTTTCGATTTTTTAAAATTTATGAAAAACCCAATTGAAATTATAAAAATAGACCCACTATATAAGTTTGCCCCCACAAATTAAAAGTCCGACCCCCTCATTAAATTTTGTAGGTCCGTCACTGAATATACGTATGATCATTGAGTTTTATTTAAGTATTATTTAATTAATACAGTATTAGTTAATAAAAAGTAAGCTATTTGTCAAAAACTTTGAAATATTTTAAAGCTAAGTAGTACTATTTATTTAGAAATGTCTTTCAATTAGATATTAACTGTAACAACCCGAATCTGGGGTCCGAATTGTTTACCGGGTCCTTACCAGAATTCGAGGTAGTCTAAGGGCACTATGGTAAATTCGAAGGTCAATACATAATATACGTGCTATCACAAAACTTATACAAAACAAATGAGATCGCAAACACAAAAGATGATAAAACAGTCCACTAACCCATTCAAACTTATGGAGGAACATCGTCAGCCACTTCCTTCCCGTGACCTAAAAAATATAATAATATGATAGGGTGAGCTCAACAGCTCAGTAGGTAATGCCTAAAACACCGGTTTTTGAACTTCCTTGAGTCAACAACCAAAGAACAGGAAAAAAAAAAAAAAAAAGATGTCGGGATCATACACGGGGAATTATCAAAATCACAATCCAATTCATTCAATTTAAAAGATTATCATCACATAATCAGTTATAATCATAGGTGTCAAAATGCCATGAAATGCAATGCATTGCGTAACCGTCTCGAGCTTGGTCTCATACCAACCCCAAATCTCCACGTACGCTAACTGACTTTACCGAGCTGGGATTGACACTCTTAGTGTCAACTTTTTCACGCCCTACACCGGGCCGCGCCCACTCTAGGTCAAGTTAGCCCCGGGCTTGCGATACCGGTTCGTTTCTAAATCATTTTCTCACAATTCCCTTTCAATCACATTTCTTTACAAGAATCATTTCAACTTCACTTTTCCCAAACCATGCACATGCCATGAATGAAATCATGCATGAATGAAATTGACAGTACACATCCTTACATTTTATTAACTTAATCGTACATACTCATCATCATCATCATGTGTGTATATATATATATATATATATATATATATATATATATATATATATATAAACTCTAGAGAACAATTCAACACAAGGCATGCTCATTAAACAATTTTGCAACTAAGCACGTATATATGCACAATTAACATCATTTAGATCATGTTTCACCACATAAACATGTAAACACATAATCAACAATTAAATCCCGATATCCATCAGTTTAAGCATGCTTAGCAAGAAATCAAATACCGAACTCAACTAAAGTCAAAACGTGACGGTTTAGACATCCCTACCTCAAAAGTAGCCCAAATGCATCCCCAGCCGGATAATTCAACGCCGGAATCCGACTCCAAGTGGCCCAAAACCCCCTCCGAAACCTTAAATCTAAAATTTCAAAAATTTATAAAATAATCACCGCTCCTCAGAAAATTAAATCCTTTGA